ACATACAAATAACAAAAGTTAAAGCTAGAGAACTGAAGTAAAGTAAAACTTGTGCAATGTTTTGCAAATAAATTGCGAAACTCTTTGCCACGCTGACGCTTGCACCGTTCCAGCTCCACTGACTGCGCTGCTGTGAAAAAGAGACAAGCCACACACACACACACATGCACGTGCATAGTAATCGACGGCTGGCAGAGGCGCGCAGGATGGTGAAAATGCAGAATATACAAAGAGTTGGATATTCAGTTGACTGACAGCTGGTCCTTTGCCAGGACTCCTCTTTCGCACTGAAAAATAGATGAACAAGCACTTGAAAAATGCGTCAAAAGTTGTAAAAATGTAGAAGAGCAGTCGGTCGGGCAGAAAGGCAAAAGAAGGAGAGAAATGTTTGCATTGCCGCGAACAAATAGCACAGGCGTCCTGCTGGCAGTCGCCTACCCGGCTGTCTGTCCGCTTACCCGTCTTACCGCTGTATCATCGGCTGACTGCATTGTGTTTAGACACCCTGACGCTGGGACTGGGGCTGTGGCTGTGGCTGAGGCGCGTGTAAAGTGGAGAGGTCAGAGGTGCGCTTGCAGATTGAATTGCTGGAGCAGATGACGCAGCTTTTTTTTTTTAGTGCGTTGTGAAAATCTATAGCACACACAAAAGGGAGCTAGTTAAAAGAGCACGTGCGAGGTGGAGAGGAAGAGAGGGGAGCTTGTTGCAGACAGTGAATTTGATTTGTGTGCAGTTGGGACTTTCGCTTTCGCACACAGACACAGAGTACTGAATTGTATATGTACATACATACTTAATGACGCCAGATCACGCGGCTGCGAGTGTGAGATTTTACGCTAACAGAGGATATTTTTGCTGCATTGTGTAAGTCTTCAGCTGCATTGTCCTTTGCGTGTTGAGAGTAGAGTGGGAAATGGGAAGTTAACAATCAGGCAAACCAGGAAATGACAAAATGAGGAAAGTTCTACACGCCGTTCTTGTTTGTTGTAGCTTTCTTTGTATGTATCTGAGTGCTAAAGCTCGCAACTGCATGAGCTGGCATGTGATTCATGCGCTTAGGTCTTTCCATGAGTAAGGGTGGAGTACGTAAAAGTCTCGGCATTGCTTTTTTGCTAAATTGGCATTAAAATGCTAAAAGCTGAATAATTTTACGAGTTTACTATTTTTGTTGCACAGCTGTTGCAGTGAAAAAAAAAATATATATTTATGAGTCATTATCATGTTTACACAGGTAGCGAGGTACTCTAGTTTTACACAAACAAAAACCATGTATGTATGTACATATATATTTTTTCATTCCTTGCCAAAAAATCTTTATTTAATTAAATATGTAAACAAACATTTTTGTTTTTAGTTCTATTTTAACTTCGCTCGATATTCATTAAATCCCACTTGCTTTATGGCATGTGTTTCGCAGTCCTCATTCGCAGACCTCATTCTCATGATCTCACCTATCAAATATTCTTCGCTGTCGTCTGATATGAAATTTGTGGCTTTTGAGCATTTTTCGACACTTGAGTGTATGCGTGTGTGCGAAATTTTTCAGTTTTCTTTTAGCATTGAAATTGTTGGCATTATTTTTTGTAAATTTTTTAGCGCATAGGTACCGTTCAACGAAAGAAGAAGCCAAGAATGTGCAATGCCGGGTACAATGTAATAAATCTATTTATTAACTTGTGTTTGTCATTATACGATTTTTTTTTTGAAAATTAAAAAAAAAAGTCTAAGGTTTAACTCGCACCTAAAAAAATTTTTCATTGTTGATTTAAGATCTAGGGATTCTCCTTCGTTCCAGTATAAGTTCTTTCTGGCTTCTCAGGCAAAAAGGCGAGCTTTTAAGAATACTTATACATACATACATACATAAAAAAATTTGAAAATTATTCACTGCTGTGAAATTAGTATTAAACGAAATACTATGCATTATTCTCCATAAAAAAAAAAAAAAAATCTGGTAAGGTTTTCCCATCAGAATTATAGAACTTATTATATTTTAAGACTTCCGCCAAAATATTTCGGAAAAATATTAAGATTTACCTGAGCTGGACCGATTTAAAAATATTATACAAAAATCAAATGATTTTGTTTACATTGTTGAAATTTTTAAACATTTTTATAAGGTTTGAATGTCTGAATTTTATAATTCCGTTGGAAAACCCCAATTTTTTTTTGGGGGAGGCACCATGTTTCAAGGTGGTCCCCTTAACCGAGTAACTGAAAAATTCGAAACTGAAAAAATAATTCATACCTATTTTGATAGTTTATTAAAAAATTCTATAATTGCGAGGTCTTTGAGATTTTTAAGATAATACTCGCCATAAAAAAATGCTTTAGGAATTAATCTTTTGAATTTCCTCCTACTAAAAAAGAGTGGTACTCCATTGTAAACCGGTTATGTGATGTTTCATCCGTCATGGATATGCAATTTCATTCCATCCAAGCTTTACAAACCCCAATTTTCGGATATGGTTGGTTAGAGTGGTCAATCACCTTGGTGACAAGCAAACTTGTGCTAACCTACTGCTACGTGTTTTGATGACTTTGACTATATAATACCGACAGAAGCATTTGCAGTCTAAAATATTTTGCAGGGCATGTGCATTACACAAGTTGCCCGAATAGCCGAATAAGAATATGTTCACCTAAATTTAGTACGAGATTTGTGGCTGGTTCAGGTCTTTGGTATCATATATTCGATGGGCTTTTATACTAAATGGAAGTCTATTTAAATGACACTGTGTCCGACCGCCCTCTCCTTCCAGTATCCTAAAGACCGCAAACTAATTATGCTGGTAGCAGCTGAATTTTCCATAAAAAATCTAATGGTACTAAATCGAGTAAAACGCTCAAAGCCTTTGTTGGGCATGAAAAAAAAAATCGAAAAAATACTAAAATTTTACGTGAGCTAAATAGATTTGAAACCATCTCCAAAAATCGCACTATATCATACAAAGTATTTTCGAGAATTTTTTTGTATGAAAGAAACTGCATGAAAAAAATTGGCAAAAATTAAGGGTAAGCCCTAGCGACTTAAAATTTGCACTCGATTATACTAAATTTTTATGGGCCACAAAACTGCATACTCAAAAAAATTCTAAACATCTAATTAAACACTTGAAAATTTGCATAAGACTTTATTGAATTTTCCTCAGTTTTACACAAGGTTTAGAAATTATATTTTTATGTTTCTAATTGTAGTATGAACCATATTTTTATAAAAAATTAGCGAATAAAATTAAATAAAATTTGTTGCATCTATTGTGAAAAATTCTCTATGCCAATACTTTTTAGTGTGAGTGTACTTACATACATAACTCAAAGATATGACCACGTTTTTTTTTGTTATTTTTATATAAAAACATCGCCTAAGCTTTAATCAAAACCTTGTAAATCCCAGTTTCAAACTTAATACAAAATTTAGGAAAATTTAACAAATTTTCATCAAAATTTCACCTTTTTGTTCTGAATTTTAAGAAAATTTTTGGGTATGCAGTTTTATAGGCCATACAATTTTAGCCTAATAAAGTTTAAGTTTCAAACGGTTAAAAAATCGCGTTGATTTTTGAGAATTTTTTTTTGAGGCTTTATGAAAAAAGTGAAAAAATCCGTCACCAAAAAAAAAAATCTCAAAAATTAACGCGATTGTTTACAAGTGCGATATGTAGTTGTGTCAAGCATGCAATTTTTTATTGAAACTGTTTAAATATAGTTCTTCGGACAAAATATTTCAGATATTTTAAAGCGTAATCTATTTAAATATCAGGAAATGCATATACTAAGTACATAAATACTACATAGTGCTCGTCCACAACTTTTCTTTACAATACTTGCAATATACTTTCGGCTCGCCTGCAAATATGCTAATTAAAAATTGCCAGGCATTTCACTGTTCAGACGACGAGGTTTGCCGCTACCGTTTGCTTACAAAATTTATTGCCATTCAAAGTGTTTTCTACAAAAATGTGCATAAATTTTATACAACAGCCGACAGACAACATTACGAACATACAGAGCAAGTCAATGAAAAGGCTTCCAAAACATATCTATGCACTACATACATAAAAGTAGGAAGGATCGCCGTTTACGATTTATAGCTTTGAGGTAACTTCTAAAGTAAATTATTGTAGTGGCATAACACCTTGACAGAAATGGCAGTGCAGTGGCGTAGTAAAGTGTGAGAGGTGTGAGTGCGACTTGAGCACCGCACACTATGTACTTGCATGTGTCTGTCTATTTGCCTGCAAATATGAAGGCATTTTGCATGCACTACACTCTCCTTTGAATTGCTTAACCTCAATTCACTTTCGTTTATGGCCGCCGTAACTGAAAATGTTCTAGCCTAGTTTTGCAACTGTACTTTTTGCCTTTGGTATATCCTTTCATTTGTGGCACTTTTTTTTTTTTGTTTTTGAAATATTAAAATCAATTCAAGTGAACCAAATTAGTAGCGCGTTCTCATTTGCATGCATGCAATGGCTGCTGACAGTCACAGGCAATTGCTGCGGCATGCAGTCGAAAAGCTGGCTTGCTTGCTTGTTGCAAGAAGGCCATAAATTAAAAAAAAGGTGAAAAAAACATGGCTGCGCCACACGCTCCTTTGCTACCAAATTTACACTACAGTAGAATATTCCTTGGCGTGCTGTTGGCCGTTGCGCGCTCCAGTTTGCATACACGGTAGCATTCAGTGGTACGAGATCGAAGCGCACTGTGTTGTTGCATGCATTTGAATAGCACTTAATTTTAGATTTTTATCGATGCGCATAGCAAACAAGTCAAAATTGTTGTTGTTCTATTGTAAAACAAAACTTCGAACCACTCTAGTATGTTAACGAAGGAAAATTTTTTATTTTTTTTTAATTTTTTTGTTTCACGACGCGTCGAATGTTGAAGAGAACTCATAAATTATGGTGTAAGAAAACAACATGAACAAAAAATTAAATACAAATAGATTTCAAAAATCAACATTTTTTGTTGTTGGGTTATTCTACAATATTTTCGAATTTACAGAGCAGCCGCTTATTTAGTTCTGTAGAAATTGAAAAAATATTGACTTTAAAAATAATCAAATAAACGAAATAAACTTGAAAATCTAGTGAGTGACATACCAACAATAAGGAAAAGTGCAACGCTACAGCAGCAGCAATTTTAATAATAAAGGAACATTTTTGGAAATATCATCGTTGTTGCGGTGGAGTTAATTTTGATGCACAAGCGTAATAAACTGTTGTCGGTACAGCAGCGGCAATAGCAAGGCAGCTAAAAATATACATACGTATACTATATACAGATAGAAGTGGGCTGGAGCAGCAACAGACACAGCCACAGGCAAAGCAAGCCACAGTGAGCAAGTGAATTTGGACGCGCCTCATCGCGTTGGTCCGTTAGCGAACAGCCGCAATTGAATTCATAAAGTTTAAAAATAAAAACCAAAGACTACAAGAAAAAAATAATAAAAATAAAATAAAGCCAAAGCGGCGTTAATAAGAAATCAATAAGCCAGCGGTGCAGCAAAACAAGAAAAAATAATAATTTTGAGTGTTGAAAAATATTTTCCATTTGTGTTGCATGTGAGGCTAACGCAATACTTCCCTAGCGATATTGTTGCACAGTGACGTTTGTTCTTTGGCAACATTTGTACTACAGCAACATTTGTTAAACGGCAGCATTTGTTCAACAGCAACATTTGTTCAACAGCAACATTTGTTCAACAGCACTATTTGTTGCGCCAGCAGATAACTATTGAATACCGTAAACTTTGTTTCGCTAGCCATTTTATAGCTAAGCAACACTTATCCTCCTCTCTTCCAACCAACGAATCCCATCAACATTGTGTATCGACCGAAATTCGTTCGCGCAAATTTTACCAATGTGCGTCTACTACTAGTCACACACGTAGCTCACTCGATCGATGTTGTTAACGCTATTCAGCTTCCTCATGAGATTCGTAGACATTTCCAAATTGCAGAGCGAACGGTGCAATTGCACCAACGCCGCGGACGCTTGCCAGAACAAGGTGAAATGCTGGCAGCAAGCAGCAGTCGCAGCGGCCGCTGCTGCCGCACACAAAGCCAACACAGCTAATTCGAATAGCAGCAGCACTAGTAGCGGTTGCGATAGCAATGCTTCCTCAGCCTCGGGTGGCAGCTCCTCCAAGGAGAACTACTATGGTTTGAATGCATTACAACAGCAACGTAGGCACCATCATCAGCAACCACAACATGTTGCGCAACATCACAGCATTACGCCAGAGCAGTTACAACAAATTCGCTACTATCAGCAGATGCAACAGCAGCAATTACAATTATTGCAACAACAACTGCTGCAACGTCGTCGACTGCAACAGCATTTGCGCGAACAGGGCGTAAATGTGGGTGTGCGGGCGCGCAATAACAGTGAAGGGAATGGCAGCGCCACAGCAGCAGCTACTCAGCCAAAGTTGAGTGCTACCACCAAATCGCCGGCGCTCACCTGCAATCAGCAATACTTGATACAACAGCGACTGCAGCAGCAGCAGCAATTACAACAACAACAACAACATCTGCAACCACAATGGCCGCGTAACAATTATAATTATAATGTGAATAATCAATATAACAACAAAAATACCAACACCAACATCAACACCAGCAACGGCAACACGCTCACCGACAATGACATACTCAACAACAATGGCGATTTTGGCGATATTTTTAATGACTTTGACGTTGGATACCAAAAAGGTTTGCCATATCCGATAATATAATATATGTATATACTTTGTGTGTGTATATGTTTGCGATAATATGCAATTTCCTCATTGCTTGCTTTCCCTTCTGTCTTGCCTGCATACGGAATGAGTTTAATAACACTCTTTCAGTGCCAAAAAACTTCGTATACGTTTGCGTGCCAATTTGCAATGCAGGGTGATTCGAAAATAGCTGAAAATTTGCGTTTAGAAAAAAATGGGCTAGAAATGTTTGATTTATTCGGGGGTATAATATTTTCCAATAGTAGTTTCGTTTTGGCAAATTCGATTGTATTTACAATGGCGGAAAAATAATTAGACTTTTTAGAAAATATTTCGGTATGCAGTTTAAAGTGCAAGTACTAAGTAGCGGAAAAATCCCGTTCATTTTTGATATTTTTTTTGCTGCCCTTGTTACACTTTTTTCCATAAAAAAAAAAATCTTTAACAAAAGAAAAATTTTTTCTCGGAAGTGTTAGAATTTTTTTGAGTACACAGTTTTTTAGCTCTCAAAAATTAACGGTAACTCGTAGCCACTTGAAATTTGCACATTATCGAACTAAAATTGAAAGGAGCTAAAAAACTGTGTACTCAAAAAAATTCCGAGAAAAAAAGTTTGAAATTTAGGTGCAAAATTGTTGCACTTTTTTGTAGTTTTCTGCAAATTATTAAACTTGGGCTTATATGGGGTTTGTCTGAGAATGAACTATACTTTAATTGAAAATTCTTAAAAATAAATAAATAAACATAAGTGGCACACAATATCACTTTGAAATGGCGTGCTATAGATATGACCGATACCGTGCCTCAGAGTCAAAATTAAACATACCCAGTAGGGTTGCATGAAAAAATTTGTTCAATTAGCTCTCAATTAAGCACTACTCGAGCAATTAAGAATTGAAATTTTGTATTGTAAATCTAGCTTAATCGAACGCTTTAATCGAGAAATCTTGGCTAATTGCACGATTAGGGGCCGGTCTGAACATACTTTTAAACACATATCAGGAGTACGCCATTTTAAACGATTTAATGCAATATTTTTGATATTTTTCATCACAAAGTTTACGAAAAAATCGATTTCAAATCTTGCGAGTTTCAAAACATGCCATGTTGATACTAAAGGGGAAATCTGAAAGAGATTTCTTTCTGACGGCAACTTTATTCGTACAAAAAGCATGATTCGTATTGCAGCTTCCTTTGCTTTAGGTGTTATAAATATAACAGGCTTTTCAATACCCAACTTATGAAATGTTTAAAATAATTACATACATAAACTGGTGCAAAAATAATAGAAATGTGACATTTTGACTAGTTTGGGATATTTTGCTTTTGTTTATATAACGGCGGCAGCAACAAAAATTATTAAAAAATCTACTACAATTAAGTGGGCTATAAAACTGTATACTTACATATATCGTATATGTATCTAAAAATTCTGAGTAAAAGTTTGAAATTTTGTAGTATGTTTCTATTTTTATTTTTTTATTTTATTTTTTATTTTTTTATTTTTTTATTTATTTTTATTTATTTTATTTTTTACAAAGTTTAAATGTTGATTTATATGCTATTAATTATAATAAGCTAAATAAGCAAAAGAAAAATGGCTAAAGCTGGTTAAAATAAGGCGCTTCTATTATTATTTCCACCAGTGTATATCCGATGTATTATAAAATTCACTTTCTATATTTTGTTTAACCCATGTTAGTGACATATATCACACTACTTTACGCAATCATTGACAGCTGTCAAATCAACAGTGTGTTCGTACAGCTGTACATGGCTGGTGTCTATGACTCTTTAAATGACACTCTGTACTGCCTCCAATATCTATATAGAAATTTTGTATTTATACAGCTTGGACAGCTTACTGCTATTTGGCAGAATTTATTTTTTCACCGAAAATACGGATATATATACATAAGTAAAAAAAAATTGACATACTCTCGCACACCACTCATTTGGTAGACAAGCAGCTTTTAGCAACTTAGAAGCCTGATCATTCGACGACTAACCATTTGGGGTTAATTAGCTACATGTGTGATGCGTGTGTTTGCTCGATGCAGCCAAACGAATATCTATTGTTGAATAGAAAAATAATAATAAAATTCTTTGCGGTGAGCAGAAAAAACTTTCTTAAGCAACTGTTTGATGGATTATGTAAAGGGCATGGTATAGAAATACATACTACTCGTACATGGCATAGGTACTTTTTGCAAAAAATTATTATTAGTTAGTCGTGATGAAGCACATCTTTTATAGCCTAATACTTTTTTTGTTATTTTTATTCGTCATTACACATCAAAAGAATGATAAAAGTTTTATTTGAATCTCAAGAGATGCTCCTTCTTAGATACTCTGCTGAGATGCTCATACATTTTCACTTCATCTTCTAAACACATCTGTTGCCCTAAAAGCATTTTTCGTTTTTTTTTTCTGGCTGGCAACCCACTTCTGCTATACTTTTCTTTTCTTACATATTTAATCTTTGCATTGTTGCAATTTCTTTCCTCAAATTACTGCACTGCATTCAAATGATCTACTTGCCCTTATTATCTGACTATTGTATAAATTGCTATTAATTGAATGGATTTCAGCTGATAAATTAAGCCAGAGTATGATGGGCTTGCATTCAATTATAAATACTTATACACATGTACATATGTATGTATGTTTCTATATGCTTATGAAAGTTTTAAGGATACCAGCAGCTATTCAATCTTAAATAAATGGAATTTATTTATAGCCCTGATCTACTTGATTTGAATTGAGCATTTCTTTTGATGCCTTAATACATACAAGCTCCCATCTTTTCTTTGTCTGTTGTCTGCGTCTAATAAAAAGGAAATTGATTTCACTTGAGTTATTGCTAAGAAGTGGTAGTGGTTGTAGAAATTCGTTATCTTTGTTTGTTGTTTTTGTTAGCTTTTGCTGCGTTGTTGCTGTGGTAGTGTTTGTTGAAAGGTCAAGCAACTTTGAGGCCAAACCCTAAGGCTGAATCACATAAATTTGTTCTATGGAGAAGTTTAGGAATATATCTTATTCATATCGTTGTACAGAAAAATAATTAGAGTATTTGAATTATACTCTTCAAAATATGTATGTCTATTCTAAGGATAAATACAAACAGGTTTCTTAACCCGGAATTCGGCAGGTGGAGGTGGAGGTTAAACCACAATGTTCGACTTTTTCTAAACCCACATTCAAAGTTACGATAGTTTTCAAGTAATTTCAATAAATACGAAATAATGGTGAAAATCGTGATATTAAAGAAAGAAACATCCTTTACTCCAGTGGGTTTTCCTTCACCTCAAAGTGGTTACGAAAGGTCTCTGCGGAGTTTGGCTGCAATGTGGTGTTGATGCCCATACATCTGGCAACATTAATCCAATTGCCTTGCACTGATGTGCGTTTATAAGGTGACAACGGTGACCCTCCACAAACGACTTCAAAGCCTGGCTGGATGGCAAAGAAGGTTATGTTGAGTGTTAGGTGGGATTGGAAGAGAATCGTCCCCTACACTACACTGTTCGGTAGTCGGCTGGGGAATTGATGAAACCAAGTTTTTTTTTGGAAATCTGGATTGTATATAGAAAAGTAATTTCTCAGTTTGTCCAGGTTGGCGATTTTTAGCGTTTTATTCTCCTTCAATTGAAGCTGGTGGTTGCGAAGCAGCATTTAAATGAATTAAAAGTGATTAAAATGCAAACATTTATACCATCAAAAGACCTTTCTGGAGGTTTTCGAGCCGTAGGAATCTGAATCTGCGAAGAGCGGTAATTTTTACCAAAAGCGTTTTTTTACCAAAAGCGATTTTTTTTACCAAAAGCTTTTTTTTGCCAAAAGCGTTTTTTACCAAAGGCGTTTTTTTACCAAAAGCGTTTTTTTTACCAAAAGCGTTTT